AGTTATGTAGTGGTCAGTACCTATGACAAAAGTCATCTATTGCTTATATATATTTTTAATTCTATGCCTTATAGATGCTTTTCCCGTACGATTCTTTTCTGTTGGTCATCAGAGATATAGAAAAAATAGATAAATGGATAAGGCATTCTGTTTTGGTTGTATATAAATACATGTCTCACTTAGAAATGTTTTGGTTATGGCATTCTGTTTATATCCGCCATGTTGTTGCATCAATTTTCAGATGGAAGTGCTAAATCCTCAACATGGGCAAGATATTGAAATAAATGTGGATGTTGCTGAAGGCCAAAGGAGTATTGGAGGGAGTAAGCTATGTGGGGAAACAGCTTGTGGACTTTCGGATGCGGGTAATAGCTCTAAAGATGCTGAAGAAAGATCGGCTTCAATGCGCAAGCTTTTCATTTCTGTGGCGCTTTGCATCATCTTCATGAGTGTAGAAGTAGTGGGAGGCATCAAAGCCAATAGTCTAGCAATATTAACTGATGCAGCACATTTGCTTTCAGATGTGGCAGCTTTTGCCATCTCCTTGTTTTCATTATGGGCAACCGGCTGGGAAGCCAATCCCGTCAATCGTATGGATTTTTTAGGATTGAGATCCTTGGGGCCTTGGTCTCAATCCAGATGATATGGTTGCTTTCAGGAATTTTAGTTTATGAAGCCATTGTTAGACTCATTAATGACACAGGTGAGGTGTACGGATTTCTAATGTTTGTTGTTGCTGCTTTTGGACTAGTAGTTAATATAATCATGGCTCTATTATTGGGACATGATCATGGTCACAGCCATGACCATGATCACGGCCACGGCCATGGCCCTAATGATCACAGTCATGGAGTGAGCATTACCACACACCATCACCACGAGGGACACTCCACAGGAGAGCACCACCATCATTCTGAGGATCACCCCAAGACTGAGAACCACCATGTTCACAAAGAACAGACAGAACCGTTGCTTGATAAGCCGAAAAAGAAGAAACGAATGAATCTAAATGTCCAGGAGCTTATCTTCACGTACTGGGGGATTCCATCCAAAGTATCGGAGTGATGATTGGAGGAGCAATTATATGGTATAAGCCTGAATGGAAAATAGTTGATTTGATTTGCACACTAATATTTTCAGTAATTGTTTTGGGGACTACCATAAGAATGTTGCGCAACATACTTGAAGTGCTGATGGAGAGCACACCTCGAGAGATTGACGCAACAAAGCTAGAAACGGGGTTGTTGGATATGGGGATGTGGTGGCTGTTCACGAGCTGCATATATGGGCCATTACTGTGGGAAGGTCCTGTTGGCCTGCCATGTCAAAATCACACCAGAAGCCGATGCAGACATGGTCTTAGACAACGTAATCAAATACATCAGAAGAGAGTATACTATCAGTCATGTTACCATTCAGATTGAGCGGTAAATGAAAGAGAATAATATAGAGCATGCATGGACCTCACTGTTACATATATATGTAGTCAGTATCCGATATAAAGTCGGTATGTATTATGTAAATTTCTGTTTGATGAATTATCTATTTCGGACCATTTTCTGATTACTCTAGCCTGAAGCAAAAGAAAGACCTTGAATTCAATCAGCTGCTTGATGCCGTGGAAACCCTGATAAGAGTGGAGCAATTGCTGGGTGACTATTGTACTTATATTGAACATTGCCGAGCTGAAAACTCGATTGAACCTAGCATCCAATCCGGGATACTCGAAGGCACGTGTTCCATGCGCCTGTTGAATGCGATTCCTCCTTCTAGAAAAACATCTTTATGTTGAGACCTGGAATAGAAATCCATCAAATGATCAAGCATCTATCTAATATCAATAAAAACCTTTTTAAGTAAAGTTGATGCAGAACAGCTATCGAATGAGAGGGGCTAACGACAAGGCATCTTCGTTAGGCACGCACAAAGTAATGAAACACCAGGGAGAAACTGGAGTGGAGTGTCTTTTGGGACCAACAACAGAGCAGGTCAGCACATTGTGGGTAGCCGAAAGCCTGGCAATCCAATCCACCATGATAGGCGCAGCCTGGTCTTGGTGGGCATCATGGCTGCAATATCATTGGCAGAGAGTTTGGCCCTGGGACCTGCTTTCGCAATTATCTTCAGAATCCCAAGCTCGCATGCTGTTTGCAAGGCAATTGGTAGCACTGATCCCAGCACGAGCTGAGGGGCAAATAAGTAAGTTTCATTGTCACCTTCACCACCTACCACTTGGCGAGGTTCTATCGAAGAAGCCAGCAATGAGATTGTATAACATAAGGCAAGTCGAAATCGATGCCTTTGATGTTGGGGTAGTTGGAAGTAATATGGTGATATCAAGATTGCCGCCGACATCAACCAGCTGCCTGATGCCGTCGAAACCCTGATAAGATTGGACCAATTATCATTAAGAGTATCCTACGATAACATGTTAACAACAGTGAATGAGACGACAGTAAAATACTATGATATGCGTTTTGAAATGGTAAAAAAAAAGTCTCCTAAATCCTTTCATAAATTAGGTAATTTGGACCCTTTATAAGTAAAAAAACTATTTCATTTTATCAATTTTAAAAATATTAACCAAGAAAAAAATTAATCAAGATATTATTATTTTTCATTAATTTCCTATAATTTTAATTAAGATAATAATAAATTTAAGGAGCACGAACCAACTTATCTAAGTGGTTAAATGAATAGTTGTTTTTATTGGATGTTAAAAGGTTCGAGTATCAACTACTGTAAGGGTAATTTAATGTTCATTATCAAAATGGGTAAGAGTATTTAAAATAATTACTACTTTGTAATCACCTTTAGCTTAATTAAAAAAATAAATAATAAATTTAAGGGTAAACTATGTAAATGATCACTAATGTTTGAGTAAGTTTTTGTTTTCACCACTGATATTTCAAAAGTTACAAATCGGTCACTAACGTTATCGTTTGTTACGAATTGGTCACTCGACGTTACCAATTAGGTGAGAGAAAGCTGATATGACGTGTTAACTACTGATTTAGCAATGTCTGACTATTATTTTGACCTACCCTTCTCTTCCATCTCCATACTAGAGGGGGGGGGGGAAAGCCACCCATTCCACGCTAATTGGACTTTTTAGTTCATGTTTCAACCGGTTCAAAGTAAATTACCCTATAATTGGGTTAACGGCTTAACTTTTTGGCTTCCAAACTTAAATTGGGTTAAACCAGTTGAGCCAGTCTTGTTTGGTTTCTTAATCATTTTTTATTCTGCTCCCACTTCTGAGCATGGAATTTTGTTTTAGATTCAAGGATTTGTCATATATTAGTTCAGGATCAGTTCATAAAACTAATACATATGCTTGCTTGTAGATATGATTCCTCAAAAAAAAAATTCTCAAAATGTTGAGTTGACAGATCCCATTATCTCTCGTTTTGACGTGTTATGCGTTGCCTATTTGCTTAATGTTTAGTTTTCTTTGTAATGCTTTATTATCAAATCTTAATAGGATTAAAAAAAATACACTTGATTTGAAATGGAGGATGTTGTTGACCCTGTAACAGATCAAATGCTTGCACAGTTTGTAGTGACAGTCACTTCAGGTCACAACCTAAGGGTGCTAATATGGATGACAGAGGCTTCAGTGAATCTCAAGAAGAGACTAGAGCCTCTGCTGGATTAGCTGATTCAAAGGTTCATAGTGGTTGTTCTATTACTCTGACTAACTGTTATTACTTTACAGATCTTGCCCTTTAAATAATCTTATGGATTTTTATGTTTGCATCGAAGATTCTTTCTCAAGAATTGCTAAGGAAATATTTAACCTTTGCCAAGTTGAATGTATTCCCAAGATTCCATGAAAAGGATACGACCAAGCTTACTAAAGTTTATGCTGATCTGCGAAAAGTATCTTCGATAAGATTCCTTTTCTCGTTTTACTTGTAATATTTAAAGTGATTTTACTTGATTCTTCAATGATTTCTTAATTGTCTGTGTAGCGTGGACAAGGCGTCCCTAGAGCTTCACTTCCTCTTGCGAAAGCTTTCTCCATGTGGTGCAAATACCGGTTGAAGCAGGCATAGTATTAGTTTTATGAACTGAAATTGTTGCATAAAGAGCGGTTTTTCAAATAAAGGAAAGAAGTTGAGTAGTTTGGGAGCTTTGTACGAGACAAAGAGAGCTGTGGGATGGACGGCTTTTTCGTTTTTCCTTAAATAATATAGTGTGAAGATAAAGATCGAAGAAGAAAAACAAATAAAAATGGTTGGTTTTGAATTAAAAAGAAGTATGGAGATGGTAGAGAATGGTAGGTTAAAATAATGGTCAAACGATATCAAATTAACAGTTAACATGCCATGTCAGCTTTCTGTCACATACAGTAATGACTGTTAACGTCAAGTGATCAATTTATAACAAATGATAACGTTAGTGACCGATTTATGACTTTTGAAACATCAATAGTGAAGACGAAAACTTACTTAAATATTAGTGATCATTTGTGTAGTTTACCCTAAATTTAATTCTCAACATTAATATAATACAGAAAAGCAAAAGGGAAGATAGGAAACATAGCATGCCCCTAGATTTGTTGCTAAAATAATCATCATGGGGAATCTGGATAATTAGTCACAAATCCGGCGTTGTTGTGGCTCCAGATATACCCTTAAACCGCCATGTGCCGTTTACCCAATCCACGAATGGCAATCCTTCGCAGGCGGGAACCACGTGGCATAGCTTAAGGCACTTTTACGGACTTAACCTCAAGGGCAAGGGGAACTTGTGGTTGAGATTTGAATATGGAGGCAAAGAACGAGGGAGCAAACAGGCCAACAGCAGAAAGACAAAGCAAAAAACTTTTTAAAAAATAAGGCAAAAAGCGCAAGGGTGGGGTTTACCTGAATCGGCCACTAAATAACAGCCACTTGGCAACGTCCAATGCATCTCTCCGTTCTGTATACTACCGTTCACTCTTTTCCAGCCTCAAATTAAACTCCCCCAATGTCTGTTGATTTTCAAATTTTCTCCAGAAAAATAATAAATCCACATGAAATTGTAGTGGCTGAGATTTCTCCTTGCTTCTTCCCAGAACTGTAGTTTTCTGGTGTTTTAGTTCTCTCCAAAGAAATAAGCATCCTTTCGCTTTTTCTGTTTTGCTTGCTTCCAGTTTTCTTCTCCCGAAATAGAAAGACTGTTTTCCCCCAAATTGTGCTGATTCCGATCTACTCATTGTCGGAAACTACGAGATCTCCGACGAGTTTCCGGAGAACCCGTTTTTCATGCGTCATCGTTGTTTCTGGTGTTCTCTTCCTCCATGGTTCTCTCTCAAGGTACTTCCATTTTCCACCGCATTTATAGGGCTTTCCTTCTCTACTCTCCATTTTGCTGCCCTTAAAAACTCTGCTCAGCTGACTTTAAAATCATGTTCTTTATACGCAGTTGAGTAGGAAGACGAAAGAAAAGTGATTGAATTCTTTGTTTTTCTTGGCAACCAAACAGAAGGTAAAGAATTAATATTTTTTCACTAAATTTGATCTCTTTTGGCTGTAAATGATTCGGGGAAAGTTTGGAGATATGGATGTGTGGAAGTGTGTTGCTGATTACTGATTAAAGCTTTTTTCTTTTCATTTCTCGATAGGTTTTGGCGTCTACGGGTTCGTTTTGGTGAGGATTCTGAATAACGGAATTTTCTTTTAAGTTCATTGGAAGAAGCCGTCTCTTTCTCTCTGTTACGGCGGATACTTAAATTTTGTTTACCTTTTAAAATTTTAATTTCCTAGTGATTTTAGCTTTCATTATGTGATTAAATAAAATACTTAGTAATATTAATTGGAATAGCAATAAAAATCAGAGACGGATCTCTATCGATTGTTGTTGGCTTTGGTGTTTCTGCAGTAATAAATAGCAATCTTCAGGTTTTGTGGTGTTCAAAAACGGCTTTACTATTTGTAGTACTTGAAAGAAATGGAAGGAGGTTTGTGTTTTACCCGTTGCTCGTTAGAGAGGATCTGAAGCAGCGGTGACGCTGCCGAGGTTCTGTCAATGGACACATACTCCTCTGGAGAAGAACTAGTTATTAAGGTATCAAATATCAAAATAAATTCTCTTTCTTACTTTGCTTTTAAATTATGCTTATTGGAATTGTAAAAATGCAGTTTCTGTATTGAACTTTTATGTCGAATGATAGACTAGGAAGCCTTATACTATTACTAAACAATTAGAAAGATGGACTGAGGAGGAGCATAATAGGTTCCTAGAGCCCTTGAAGCTCTATGGACGAGCTTGGCAACGCATTGAAGGTTTTCACTTGCTTGTCCCTCTTATTTGTTTTTAAATGGTGGGGCCGTGGGGGTTGAGAAAAAGTAATATTTCAATTGCTGTTGTCATTTGAGAACTACTGTTTTGTGGATAGAGGTTAAGATTAATAGGATATGTTTGTTAGGACTGACAAATGAAACACCTTTGTTATTTTTTTTCGTAATTGGAGATCCTTTTCCCTTTTCTGTTTATATGGTGATTTGCAGAACACATAGGAACAAAGACTGCTGTGCAGATCAGGAGTCATGCTCAAAAGTTCTTTTCAAGGGTCATTTGGTGCCTTCTTGTTTATGCTTATTTCTATGTGCAATGTATTTTTCTGCTGCCTTAATCTTGTTTCTGCTTGAAGTATTTGAAACATATGAAACACGGATTCATCAACTGCACTATCTTTAATGGTTGTGAAATCTAACTGATTATCCTCTAATTCACTTTTCCCCCTTATATAAGCAATTTTTTAAATTAAAAAAAAAGGCGATATAAGAAGTTTCCTTGGTACATTCAACAAACAGACTGAGGAGAAAGACTTAATACCTAATATATGAAGAGATTACATTGCTATCCGTGCCAAAAACATCAATTGTATATCACTCGGGATAAAAAATATAATCAATCATGCGAAGAAGCGCTCTGGAGTTTATTTATTAATATCTAGAAAAGGCAGAAACTTTGAAATAAATGAGAATCTGAGCTGCTGAATACCAATTTCTTTAAACCATATTTACGGCGAGAATCTTTAGCATCTCTACAATTTTGGTTTTAGAGATGTCAGCAATTTGAATTCTATTTATGTAGTCTCTGTATGAGATTGGCTGTGCCAGATGGCTTATCATCCTTGGAGTGTGATCTGTAATTGAAAAAAAGGGCCATGTTTCATTTTTTAAGATGTTAAAAATGGTTACTTCCTAATATGTATTTCTCCATCTTTTAATGCACAAGGCATACACTTGATTGGTCGCTTTTGAACTGTTGATGTAATTTGTAGTTAATCTACCAACGCTTATTGTGTTGATCTTACATGCCAACTGAGTAGTTAATGCTAGCGGGGAAGGCAAATTTCTTAGAGTGAAGGATATAGTTTGTTGAATACTAGGGTGAGTTGATGTGTTTAGACCACTCGTGTAAATTTCTTTAAACATTAGCAATATTACCAAGTTTGTACCAGATAGTAGTTAGACCTAAAAATAAGAATTTTATTTTTTCTTCAATTTCTGGGATTTGGTAAAGTTTGAGGATCATACATCTATAAAGATAAGTCCTTTCTTGGTAATGTGGAACATAAAATTCTGATCTGCATATTTTTCTTCTCATCAGAAAGATTATACCTACTAGGCGATAATACAGGGATCAATCTTCCCGATAGTACCTTAAGTTTTGCAGCCAAAGCTTAGCAGCGGCATATCTTTTAGATGTGCCTTGTAGCTGATTATGATGTTAGACTTGAGGTATGCATTCCCGTAGATCCATCTTAAGATATTTTCCTTTAGTGAATGTGGTATACTCTTCAGTCATAGGAATCGTTCATAAAATTTTGCAGGATTCTTCTCTTAAAGACCTATTTCCTGCAGGTTATTGGCAGTCACCTGTCAGTTATGTGAAAATTAGGTACATGGTAATGCATTTCTTCTTCCTTTTTGTTTCCTTTCAAAATTTTGATTTACAATCAAATGCTCACATTCTATTGGTAGTAGTTTCCAACCTTTTTTTCTCGATTAGCTCATAATTGATGAATCTTATCAGGAAGGTTAGCAAACCAAGATTTTTCAAGATTATTATGATTAAAGCTTTGTTAAATACTTTCTTCGGTCTGAAGTCCTAACCATTACTTATCTCAATTTTACATGACAAAGAACATCATGGATAGTTTGTTCACAGTATACAGATAAATTGGCATTAAGAAATCAATGGTAAATTTCTCTGCATCGATATATACTAAACCTCTCTCTCCCTCTATGAATACATTTAAAATTTTTCTCCTTGGAAAATAGGGGTTGGTTTAGCCGAGCAGAACTGACTGCTTGGCTAAACCAACCCCTTTTTTATGAAGTCAATGTTTGTGTATGTATATGTTCAACTGCAGCCTGTGCGTATGTCTGCTACATTTCTCTTCTGTAATTTTCATTTTATTGAACTATTTACGATATTCTCAGCTGGAGAAGGAGGCACATGCTAAAGGTGTACCAATAAGTCAAGCTCTTGACATAGAAATTCCACCTCCACGCCCTAAAAGAAAGACAAGCAATCCTTATCCTCGAAAAACCGGTGTTGTTAACACAGTTCAGGAGGGAGCTAAGGATGGAAAATCCAAAATGACGATTGTGTTGCAAGAAAGTGTTGGACTTGGTGAATGAACCACTTCCAGAGGTTAATTTCTCCTCCTCACCTACTTTATTCAAGCCCTTAATTATGTTCTTTTATATTTTTGCCTAAGCTTCAAATATATATTGTTTGTTAGAGACCTAATGGAGATGAAAAGGCAACCAATCTAAAAGAAAACCGAGATGAGAGTTGCTCCGAGGTCTTCACTCGTCCCCATGAAGCGAACTGCTCCTCTACGTCTTCCATGAATAAGAATTTTATACCAACATCAGCAGCAATCATACACTCTTGCACATTTAAGGAGTTTGTACCTTCGCTTAAAGAGGTAATAAGTCATGATAAACATGAATATCGTGTCACTCTTGAGCTTGAAATTTATAAAGCCTATAAACTTAATGTCCAACAGACAGTTCATGATAATGGTACAAGTAAGGCTTCAAACTTGGAGAGTTCTTGCACTTCATATCAGAAATCAGCTCAAGGCCAGAGAAAAGATGATTTGGATGGTGTTTTATGTGCAGATGAGATGCAAGCCACTCAAAATTATCCTCGACATGTTGCAGTGCATGTACTAGATGGAAGCATGAACACATGTGTTCAAAATCCTTCCCCGGATATGTCATTTCAGGATTCTGTATTTCACGCTAATGGCGATGTTCATGGACCTAACTTGTTTACAAATCCAGCTGCATCTGCAACTACCGAACATCAGAATACTGCCCCAAGATCTACTCATCAGGCATTGCCACCTTTTCATTCTCCCTTTTTGCATCTTCGCCGCAATCAAGAGGACTATCAATCATTTCTACATGTCTCCACTTTTTCCAGTCTCCTTGTGTCTACTTTGTTACAGAATCCAGCTGCTCATGCTGCAGCAAGCTTTGCAGCTACATTTTGGCCATATGCAAATGTTGATAGTTCTGGCGAATCTCCCAAATGCGGCCTAGGCGGTTTCCCACCTAGACAGCTGAACTCTGCTCCAAGTATGGCTGCAATTGCGGCTGCAACTGTAGCAGCTGTCACTGCGTGGTGGGCTGCCAATGGACTGCTTCCTGTATGTGCTTCTCTTCACCTAGGCTTTACCTGTGCTCCTGCATCCACTGCTGCAGTTCCACCAATGGACAATGGTCAAGCTCCAACTGCAAATACTGAACACAATGATAAAACTGATCAAGCTCTCTCCATGCAGGACAAGCAACTAGACCCTGAATACTCTGAAGCTTTGCAAGATCAGCAGTCACCATCTAAATCACATGCTTCGTCATCATCGGACTGTGAAGAGAGAGGAGATGCGAAAGTGAATACTGGAGTGAAAGCTACGGATGATGAGACGGCTGCCGAAGTAATTGAACCTCAGGATGCAAATAAAATGAAGAACATAGAACAAGTTGTCCGCTCCTCGTGTGGCTCCAACACAACTTCAAGTAGCGAGGTAGAGACAGATGTGTTGGATAAACATGGAAAAGACAAGGAAGATCCAAAAGGAGCCGACACAAATCATCCACAAGTTGAATGTAACCGTCGAATTAGAAGCAGTAGCAACCCGAGTGATTCTTGGAAGGGGGTATCTGAAGAGGTGAGTTGATATGTCTATTTTCATATATAGCTTTAACTTAATTATTGTAACATTGCCGCTCTATGGCTCCGCTACTTATTTCAGGGGCGACAGGCTTTTCAAGCCCTCTTCTCCAGAGAGGTATTGCCACAAAGCTTTTCCCCTCCACACAAGGGAAAGAACAAGGGGCAGCAAAAGGAAAAAGTAGGTGAACACAAACAAAGTCCAGTCGAGAAAGATGGAGAAACATCAGTTTTAGACCTCAACAGCTCTTGTTCTGATCATCTAGAAGTTAAGAAAAATGCATTATCAAGAAATGAGAAGAACACTGCTGAAGAGGGCCTGCTTACAATTGGACTAGGACATTCAAAAACTAAGGCCACCCGAATCGGATTTAAACCTTACAAAAGGTGTTCTGTGGAAGCCGAGGAAAACAAAGTGATGAAAACCGGCAGTCAAAGCGAGGAGAAAGGTCCGAAGAGGGTACGGTTGGAAGGGGAAGCTTCAACTTGAGTTTACGTGCTATATTGAATGTGATTAACAAACGGAATGTTTGTTCGTTGCATGTAATCCGTTAATGCTTTCCCCCATATATTATTTTCCTTTTCATATGTTGATTTTAAAGACTTGCATCGCATCGCAGCTCACAAGACTTTTAGTGTAATGTTATTTACCATCTAATATTCTACGTTGACTGATTCACTTTCCCGGACTGTTATGTATGCCAGTGCTGTTAATAACTCCTCTGAAATAGACGCATTAAAGTACAGAATCCGAGTGGCCTTTAGTTTTGGCCTCTCTATTCAAAATACATGCCTTTTGTCTTTACTTTTATTCTCCTGCATCAAGCTGAAGCCTTTTTTGATGCAATGAAATGGCAAATTAAACAGATGCCCCATTGATTTATATGTTGACTGTTTTTATGCTTATTTTTATCTCTTCCAAGCCGTAACTATATGCTTTGGTATTCGGGGCTGAATGGCTGAGAAAATGTCGTGGAAAAAAAATTCCCAAAATAATCCAACTCCGGGATTATTTCCTCATCCAGAGTGATTTGCACAGTAACCGGTCGAAGACGCTACGTGTTTCATGCATCATCAGAATCTTCAGGGAGTGCACCGCGTCTTCAAGCCTAACCAAAAGACTCCATGAGTGCATGACATCTTTACATCTTCAGGCAAGAGGGGGAAGGCTCCAAGACTGCATAACGTCTTCCTAACGCCCTCTACATGTCCTTGTATGGCACTGATTCTGACGCTAAAGCTATACCTGCAGCACAGTAACCGGGTAAATAGGGGAAGGCTAACAATACGGGGAAGAGGGACAATAATAGCTCCATTATTGTCTAGTATAATGGTGCCATTATTTTGCACCAATAATTGATGCGAGTTGGGGTTTATAAAATGGAGAGTTGGGTTTTGGGGAGTAGCGCGATGAGATGAGATGAAATAATTTAGGGAGAAGTCGAGAGAAAAAGTAGAAAAAGAAAGAAAGGGTTTTGGGGAGAAGCAATTGTGATTTGACCAAATCCTTCTATACATTACTTGAATACCTAAAAAAGTCTATGAAATATTATATTCCCTTGAAGAAGTTGATCTTATAGATTGTATGCAGACATAGTTTAAGACTTCATTATGGTTATTGGTATGAATCATTTCATAGTTTGTAACAAATCAGGTAGCTCATTGCATCCGAACTGATATCGAATAGATGCAGCTAATATTGAACAATGGATTCTTGGGTTTTGTTCAACCAACACCTTCACATATTGACATATTACATCCGAGTCCAATAGTCGGTAGTTTATTCGATAGAGTTTTGCAAACATGTGTGTAGACCATTGTACCTTGTGATGACCCAAGCATCTTACCTCTGCATTTTGGACACTGGTCAGCCACTTACACTTGAGCTCATATTTAACACACTTCGCATATAGAGTTTTCTGGTTGGACTATGCAACCTTGCAATCTACATGGTCTTTTATGCAATACTCTTCAATAACCAATGTAGCTTTTTTTCCTCTAAATTGTTTCCCAACTGATAATTCACCAGAATTTTCGGATGATTCAATCATGTAGCCTGAAGTTAAATGTGACATCTCTGGGAATTCAGGTGTACTCATCGCATCATAATCTATCTCGTACATGTGAGGGGTAAGTTAATACGGAGTTGGATATTTATCAATGGTCATAAAAGGTTAATCACCACAAAAAATATCGTCATCATCAGCCAAAATGAGTTCCTGGGTTTCTTAATCTTCACTAGAATCATCATGTATTTCTCCCTAGCGATTTTCAACGTCAACATCAATAGTTGATTGCAGATGATATATGCTTCTTGCCCCCATACTCTGTTATTGTAGATGTTCCATCAACTTCATTTGCACTTTCCAACATCACCACAAAACTGTTTATCGACCTATATGTTGGGTTCTCAAGCTCACTTTCGAAAGCCGTTTGAGATGAAGTTTCAACTACATTTCTTGATGACCTAGAAACATCAAATATATTACACACCTCAACAAATAACTCAATAATAGTTGTAATATCATCATATTCTTCAAGTGGTACTACAATATACCTAACTGGATTAGGACATACCATAAACCTGTACCTTAAATCATCGATTGTAGCTTGAATTTTTCTTTCTATCATCTCCTTTATTTCTACAGATGTGATGTCTCTTTTAAACTTTATATTTATAGGCCTTTCAAACTAAAAAATAACTCCGACCTCATTTTCCATAATTTGACTATTATAATGGACAATCATGAAAAAATTGTTGATTATTTTCTCTACATATAAAAATAAAATACATAAATAAGAAAATTTGTGACATATTTTATATATTAAATTAAAGTTATGATTAAAATTAAAATATTTTTTTGTCATTAATTAAATTTTTCCATCATCACATGAGTTTTCTTATGATTAAAAATATTAACAATATTTTTTAACATTTCTACTACAAATAATAAATCAATACATTATTTTAAATTAAAGTCATGATTAAAATAAAAATAAAATAATTACTAAAAATATTATTAATTATAATAAATACTATTGAAATTATTATTCAATTTTGATTTTTTGCCATTTTTTAAATATGTTCATCATCAGTGCGTTGACTTATAATTAAATTTATTAACAATATTTTTATAACTACTAATAATGATATAATTATTTTAATATTTCTACTATAAATACTAAATCAATATTGTTAAAATTATAAT